TGTTACTACTAGAAAATTTGGGACGATCCTCTCCCCTCCCACACACACATTACTTTTATAACAAAGGGGATATTCCTGGGATCCCTAAGGTAAACAGTGGCACCTACTGGCTAAATGTCATATTACAACCCACCTCTATTACATCTTGATAGGATTCTCAAGCAAAATGTCAGTGCTATCAGCTGTGGATGAAGAATTTAGGGATTTTCAAATTCAGTAGCCATACCCACAGTTTGGACCCTGGTGTTTAATGAATGCTACTAATTTCAAAATTTCTGGAAAAGAAAGTCGTAGTATGGTATAGTCGGCATACCACTGAAGGGAAGATAGACCTCTTCAAATAAGGCCTATTCAGAAATAGAGAAAAATATTTTAGACCTGAAGGAAGGAGGAACATAGTAATGGAATATAGGGGTCCATGGTAATGTATCGTAAGAGGAATATATTTTCTTGCTTTCTTCTTTATGATATACAGAGCATTATGCAATACAGGCACTATTATTATTTCCTATGTATTAACAATTTTATATTAATAACAATCCTATTAATTAGAACTATTATTATAATCTTTGTTTGGGAGATGAGAAAACATCAAAAGCCTTCTTTCAGATGTTACAGAATAAGTTGGAAATGGTGAGTAAAGAGTTTTTTTTGTTAAGTCTATTTTAGACCCAACTCTGATGGAAAGCAGGTAAGCTAGGCAGGACTTGAGTAAGAGAGCTTTGTAACGTTTTCTTAAAATACCTGTGCTGCTTCTGATGAACAAGGGGGAGGATTCTCTTTTAAGGCTCATTTCAAAGACCACTTAGTCCACCAAATAATCTCTGACTTTTGACGAGAAAGATGGTAATTACGTTCCTACTTATCTATTTTTTTTTCCTTCAAAATATTTTTACCCTTATGCTCACTAGTCTTTATCAAAGAATCCATCATCTCCTTCCACAGAGTTATGGGTGCTTGTTCTGAAGGATGATGGAACCAGGAATTAGAATTTTTCTAGATCATGGAGTTGGGAGAAGAGATAAGCAAGATGTTCTAAAGTTAAGTAGACGCCCAGATCTCCTCCTGATGAGCATCTTTTTCCTTTGACTTAAAAAAAAATTCGTGACATAATCCTCCTACACTTGTTAGCTGTGGAATGGACTGTCTTAAGCTTCACTACCTAAAATAGGGATAACAATAAATATCTCACAAAATTCCTGTGAAGATTCAATATTTTTAACAGTTTCATACAGTGTTACACTCCAGTGGCTAGCTAGAGCCACTCCTGGCACCTAGTAGAAGCTCAATCAATAATTGCTGGATGAATGAATGAAAGAATAATAATTCATGAATTGGGCAGCGCCTGTGGCTCAAAGGAGTAGGGTGCCAGCCCCTTATGCCAGAGGTGGCAGGTTCAAACCCAGCCCAGGCCAAAAACTGCAAAAAAAAAAAAAAAAATTATGAATTATATTATATATATATGTTAGAAAATATAGGTGCTCAAAACAGTTGGTAAGTGAATGGAGTGTTTCTATCCATAAAATATTATTAATATTGAAAGAGAAAATAAAGCCAAGTTAAGCACATTTAATACTTTTGAAAAAATCATATTCTAAAAGTATAAAATTCCCTTAAGATGGGGATACAACTATTCTATATAAAATGACACCTATTTTCTCAGCTTTGTGTATGTGTACTTTGTTAAATTCACTATATCCATTTTATATAAAACTCCTGGCCAATTACCAGCTGAAGGTGACCATTATATTTTGTGATTCAGAAAACTATGTGCCTCAAGTTAATAATTACTCTTTATAAAAATAATTTTTAGTGAATAGATACATTTTGCTTTTATGATCAATGAGCTTCAACACATGCCTGGGAGCAAAAATGTGCTAGATAGAAAGACAATTAATGATGACTTGAAGCAGTAATTTCAGAACCCCAGCAGGAGACTACAGTATCTAAACTGCATTCTAGGGAAGTGAGGGAAATGAAATCTTTTATGTATTCTCTTCACGATCAGAGGACCTTTGGGTATAATAATGTCTTAAAAAATAGAACAAACTCCTTCCTTTCTTTCTTCCTTCCTTCCTCCCTTCTCTCTCTCTCCCTCCTTTCCTTCCATTTTTTCTCTTTCTCTCTTTCTTTCTCTCTCCTTCCCCTCCTCCCTATCTCTTTTCCTTTCTATAACTTCTATCAATCTTAAAAACCAAAAACAGGCCATGAGGAGCTAGCAGTCTAGTCCAATGCAAGAACCGCTGGATTGAGAAATGGGTCACTGACTTTGCCAATGACCTTCTTGATGACCTTGAATGAATCACTTTACATCTCTGGGTTTCAGGCAAGTGAGGGAACTATAGGTAATTCTTAAGAATGCTTGCTCATTATAATTTGAATGTCTTTGTGTCTAAAATCATGATCAATACATCCCTAATAAACTACTTTTTCTGATAAATTTATGATCACCTCCTTATTTTTCATGTCACTTCATCCCCAGAAGCCTCTGAAATAGTTTAGAAAGAGAGTGAAGAACGAGGGTGTACCTGGCGGCGCCACCATCCTCTGCCACTTCTGAAACAAGCAGGTCTTCAGGCAGTCTCGGGGACTGAGGTTGTAAGTTTTATGTCTCGACATCAGTTCCTGCATTGGCTCCAGTATTACACACAACTGCAAGGGGTTCAAAGATATAGGTGTGTTGCATATGGTAA